CAAATCTGGCCTTTCACAAAATCCTTTTGTCTTGTGCAATTTAAATTTGCAAACCTCGTAAACAGCATTTCATTAAGTTAATTAAAATAAGCCGAAAATCCCCAACCAGTCAAATGGAATTTCACAACTTAGTTTTTCAGATTTTTTACGCTGTTGCATTATTAAAAGCGGCATTTTAAATGCCATTTTGCATTATGAATTTAATCCAATTGTTGATGGCGGTGAAAAAAGGACAATGCAGCAAACACACAGAAACAACAATCAAATGATACGGTAATTAGTTAATTTATAAATATCCTATAAACTGCTCATTTATGAATTCAATTAATGTTCGCAGACGCGTGACCGAAGTGGATTAAACTCTAATTTAATAACTCAGCTGGTGGGTGGAAACAAAAAATGCGAGCGCGCAAAGTGCTCAAATATTATTAAATGAAAACCTCAAAATGGGCGACAGTTGCAGCATAATGATTTACACCACAGAACTGTCAACGGTTATGGATACTACATGGAATGGAATATATATACGATACTATACGTATGCCGACACATGGCGTGGAATCGGTTGGCCACAATCCACGAATCCTGCCCACAGATGCGTTTACAACTCACCAGAACGCCCAGCACTCATTCCTCATACGGGGAATGTCATGGATAGATGACTACTTAAGGGATCTGTCAATTGCCTAGGATAATGTGGTGTTCTGTCGGTAATTTATGCCTATAGCAAACTCAAGTGGATCTCGGTTTCTCGGGATAAGTCTGCGCACATCTGTGTAATCCTAGATCGCACAACGCCCCCAGCTCCCTGAGATCCCACTCTCTAGCCCAAAGACATATGTATATCCCTCGTGGTTAGGCCCATGCCAAATGCCAGATAATCACATTGTTGACTGCAACTGCAACTAATTACAAATCAATTTGAACCAGCCCCCAGAGGCAAACGAATTCCGGAGAGAGCTCCTCCATGGCCAACCGCAACACAGGAAGCGGGATCGCGGTTCCAACCTCCTTAACACCTGCCTGCACCCCACGAAAATGGTATGGGGCCAGTGTCAATGCCAAGTTTAAGAACAGAACACAAAAATAAATTGACATCTCAGGCTGGCCGTAAATCAAAGGAGACATCCCAGACAGCCCAGCCATGTTGAAGTGACGAAATGAGCTGTAGAGTGAGTCATAAAAACAGTGGAGTCTAGAGGAGATGGATCACATTTGATGGTTGTCTTTTATGATCCCACAGTTGAGATACAGCAAGATGGAGATATGAATTGTCTGTGGTGGGCAGTGTAGATATGTTTAAGGAGGAAACGGTGGATTACAATTGATGGATGGAGTTCTTAGTCATTTTAGATAGGAGCTTATGATATGATAAGCATGTAATCGATCCTCAAGCACTCCAGCTAAAGAACATTTTTCACTGTTAGTACCTTTAGGACTGACGGCTACTTATAAATAAATACCAAATATTAAATAAAAAATAGTTGGTATTGAAAGAATTGTGTGTATTCAAACAATTAAAGATCCGCTACCCAAATATATTTTTGGGATCGCAGCTACCCCGATCCCAACTCAAACTCCAACTCTTTGCACACATCGTCTAAGCTTATTAGTGCCCAAGTTGTTTTGCCATACATTTATTTTCATAAACCTCTATCAAACAGTGGCGTATATAAGCACTTCAGCTTCGATGCCTGGCCATTGTTCGGGGATCTTGAGAAGAACAGAGGAATCATTTGTCTTCTAATTATGATTTCAATGGCTTGCAGAATCAAAGAAGGCGTAATTCGCTCTCACCACAGCCAGGACTCGTTCGGGGCTCCTTTAAGGCGGCAAATCGAATCAAAGAAATAGCAAACAAACAAACCAGAAAGGAAAAGGAGACTCCTCTATGGTATTGTTGACAGGCCGCCGAAAAGAAGGAGACCGCAAAATACACTCAGACAAAGGATGCGGAGCAGGGGCGACTTCATTTGCACAAAAGGAGCGGAAAAAGCGATCAAAGAGCTAACAAAAAGCGGAGCACCGAACTCGAATACATAAAGCAGGGGCATCAGCACATGTCCAAAGTGAGGTAAACCCATCTGAAAACCCCTAAGCAAGCCGAAATCCAAACCAGATCCATGCGGCCAGCTTAGGACTCCTTTTTTGCCTCATCTGCTTTGTTTGCCACCACATTGCGTTGTCGTCCTTAAGCTCTTTAAGCGAAATTAAAACATTTCACGTCGCAGCAGGAGGTGGCTTGGAAATATCAAAGCTCTCAAGGTTTCACTAGAATAATATCCACATGCCCTTTGAACCAGGACTGCATGTGGCTTACAACTCGAACAAAAATTGTACTTTGTAAAGGTATCGGATGTTTTTCATATTTGGAATACCTTTCTCTTTTGGTTAATACTTTTAATTCAATTTTTCTTGACCAAACTTAGATATGGATATACATTTTTCACTTAATTCCGCCAGCCTTGCACTGCCTTTCGGTTGAGCTAAAATTTAAATTTAAAAACCTAGTCGCCACCATGGCCATTTAGGCCACAATGCTTATCAGCTCCAGAGCACTGTGTCCGCAGTGGGCCACGTACTCGGAGCATCCCGGGCCATGCGTGCCCGCATCGGAGGCCTCGTAGAGCCCGTCCACGTGCTGCAGCTCCCGCTCCGCGGCACTTGTCGTTGGCCTGCGGAAAAATCGAGGGGGGGAGGGAGGTAAAGGATGCCATAATTAGTGGCGACCCCTTGGAGCAGCCGAGCTAGGGGAGACTCACATGAATAGAATCTGAAACAGGCTGCCCAGCAGCCCGTTTTGGGCATCAAGGGGCGATTCGCTGACCTCGCAGATTGTTCGCAGCAGGCAGGCGGAGCCATTGAATCCGTAGTGGGTCAGGATGTTTATAATGCTGCGGTAGAAGTTGTGGCGCCTGAAGGGAGGCGGGGATCCCACCGAGCGACGCCTCAACTCGTTGTCCTCGTCCTTGGGAGAGTCGCCTCCATCCTGGCGAGCATTTATCGGTGTCACATTGCCTCCGACGCCCAGATAGTGATCATCCAAATCCCACTAAGAATGGGTTTTAAAAGGACAAACGTGGCAGCGATTAAATATAATAATTGCAAATTCGTGTTATGATTTTTTCCCATTTTTAGGCTATACTCACCCTGTCAATCCACTGATTGTAGGAATCATTGGAGGGCAGTGCATAGTTGGACTCAAAGTTAAAGGCCATGTACACATTTTTGGGGCCCAATTCCAGTGGAATGGCCACAGCAGCCAGTAACTAAATAAAGGTGTAAATAGCTATTGCAGACCTCAGACGAATCTCTTGCCATACTCACACCAAAGGATCCCTGACGAGGAAACACCAGAAAACCATGTGCTAAGCCCAAACCAAGAGCCAAAACTCCACCCAAGAAAAACTCCCAGCGAAAGGCAACCATCTTAGCCCGAGCTCCAGATGCAGTTTGCGAAATATTGCAGGTTGCACAAAACGCTGGGCGTCTGAATTGGCAGCATCACTAATCAACGGGTGAGAAGTGGCTTACGGTACCACCAGAGCCAAGAGAAAGAAACCGGAATATGCAAGATTTACACGGTTACCACTTGACCCCGTCTCCAACCGATCGCTGTTGTCTACTCCAAGAGGTGCTAATTGCTAGAATGTGTAACATTCTCGGGCGAGAAAGTCTTCTTGGTGCGATTGATGAGCCGTTTTTATTGAGAAATCAAAAATGAAAAATTCGTGAGCTAGAAAAGGAGCACCCAGAAAATGGATTAGTATCTTAGCAACAGAGCTGGCACTAACACGCACTGAGATTCGCTCAGGCGTAGATGAAAATAGGAAACCTTACTATAATAATAGGAAAATGAAATTTAGTATAGCATTCATACTGGCCAGTTGCCTGCTGTACCAGGTGATGGCCTCCCTGGGCAGCCTCTCCAAGCACCAGAGGAGCAAAAGAGCGCCCATTCCATGGCTGATATTCCCCACCACATCTCCCACTCGCGTTATGGTAAGTTAAAGCTATTGGTCGGGATGAAATCTCACTTAATCTTCTCCCAGTTCATTGGTGGCATAGGTATTCCGCTGGAGGATCTCAACTACGAGGCGGTGACTACCGGCTATGTCCTGAAGGTGGAGTACTGGCTGCCCACCACTCCGGATGATCTGAGAACACCCACAGCATTGCCCCTCACACAGGTGGCCACGCCGGGAGTTACAGGAGCCAGAAAGCAGAAGAAACCAATGTTCGAGAACTTTCTGGTGGGAGTGGACGAGCTGGGCAAGAACACCAGAAAGCTGTTGACCAGGACCAACAAGGTCCTGAGTAGCTATCGATGGACAGTCTACAAGGGACTGGAGGGCTTGGCCAATCGATTGGGCTACCAGGGCAGGATTTGTGTGCTGAAGAGCATCTGCGAGGCGGCGGAGGAACCCTTTCATTACACAAATGGCCTCTTTGCGGATCTCTTGCACATATTACTCACGTAGGTACTAATGGAAAAACATCTTAACCAGCTAATAATTGCCCATAACCACAGACCCTCCTCGTCGGTGGACAAGTTGTCAGAGCATGCTGACAACGAGTATTACTATGCGGAGAAGATGGGACAATCCGGAGCTGGCTGTGATCGGGTCTTCAAGGAGTGTCGACGAAGTTTACTGCAACACTTTAGCGAAATGCACCACAACCTGGATAAGATCTTGTTTTGAGGCAATAAAAGCACGCTGAAATGATACCACATCTTTCGCTCAGTGTTCTTTGTGGCAAATGGGACTATGTGATAGAAACATAAACGGTCTAGTGCTAATTAGAAGAACGCGAACTTTTAGTGGAGCCAGAAAGCTCAACATGGCAGTTGAAATATGGTCTCAATTCTGATCGTGACTCCAGTGTGCCATATAAAGTGCAGGTATTGACACTTTCGGTTTCCCAATCGAAGAAAGTAAGACGTCTGATTCCCTAGACTATTAAAGTGAAATCATTTCCCTGTTTGCTAATTTAGTCATCAGTCTTCTTTGGAGCGAAGAGGTTCTGAAAACTTGGAAATATTTTTAAGGACTCTATCATGAACGTGTCCATATCGCTGCTCTTAGTTACTAGTTTTGTTGGAGTTCTTGCAAATCACACTCTAAAGAATACCAAGAATTTTGGAAGTGAGAGTGATATTTTAGTGCGAAAGGCCCGATGGCTGCCCCTGATTTATCCTAGATCTAATCCCACCCGATTGCAGGTAAGTTAATTATTTCATTTATCGATTGCAATCAACTGAAGACAGAGGCTAACACTGAGCTTTCTCAACTTCCAGATGATCGCTGGCTTTGGTATACCCGCGGAAGATCTCAAGCTGGAATCGGTCATTACGGGCTATGTCCTGAAAGCCCAATATTATTTGCCATACTCAGCCAAGCAATTGAGGACCAAGGACGTGCACGAAATCTCTGAAGGCAGGCTGCTGCACAATGCCACCATCTTCGATAAGGTCATGCAGATGTCTGAACGAAAACTTGGCCTGGACCCGAATATCCTGCAGCAGGATCTCCAGGCCCTGGGCAGTTATCGCTGGTCGGTTTACGAGGCTTTCACGGCCCTGGCCATTCGCATGAAGCTCAATGGCAGAGTCTGTGTCCTGAAGAGCATCTGCGAAAGTGCCGCGGCTCCCTTCGACGATCGCAACGGTTTGCTGGGCGAGGTGCTGCACATCCTGCTCACGTGAGTTTATGATCGTGGGATCGGGCTTATGCTAACCCTCACCTTCCCAACGCCTTTCCAGACCATCTAGTTCGGCGGATCCCTTGGCGGAGCACTCGGACAATGACTACCTGCAGGCTGAGAGACTGGGAGCAGCTGGTGGCGATTGCGATCAGGTGTATCCGAGGTGCCCCAAGTCCCTGCTGGAGCACTTCAGTGATGTGCATCACCTGGGCAGTGAGTTCCTTAGAATGTTGGGTTAAGCTGGAGACCGATTTGCGGCGAAGGCATGTGATATTTACATAAAAATAGCTTATTAAACAATAATGCCTGGTACTTCAGGTTACCATTTTTTGGAGTAACTACCATTCGTTTTGAAATATTCTCCGCACTATACATTTTACCTAAATAAGGATTTTTTATATTTTTTAATATATTATTTAAATTGTAATTAGGATACACGACTTCATTTTTTTGTACAATTTTTTATTCTTATCTCCGTATCAAGTTCCTAGGAATATTAGATGATTGCCCGCTTCCGTATGGGTCTTTATTTTTGGGCTCTGAGAACATTCGAGGCCCTTGGCACTTCCTCTCCGGTTGATTTCACCGGCAAGGGCGTGAAACTTATGCAAATATCCACATAATAACTCTTTTTGTTCTGCTGTCCGGGCCTCATCATCATCTTTGGATGTACATACCTGTATGTATGTATCTGCACGCTCGGGTGGTCTTTTCTACTCTCCGGCTATCAAAGCGTACGCATCTCCGACTTGGTCTGAACCTCTTTAGGCCCTATTGTCTTCTAATTCAATAATTACAGCCCGAGCTTTGGCTACCGGGGATTGTTTGGGACCCAGACCCACCGCCGTCTTGGGATAGGGTCTTGTGTTTCTGTGTCCACGGTGCCTGGGACAAATAGGCGTTTAAATGCAAATGTCTGCGCTGTAATTAATACGCATAATACGCGTATTATGCTAATGCCAATGTCATAATGACTCGAGCAAACCCGAAATGAAAGACGAAAATATGCATTTCACACTCGGTGCGGAGTCTCAGTCACTGGGGCTCAGTCATATATTCATCACTGGCGGGCTGCATAGTTAATGCCCTTACGTACTAATTAGCTTTGACAAAATATACAACAGAACACAACAATGTGGCTACTAAAAATTAGTAGAGCTGCTGCTGCGGGGCGGGGACTTTCTCCAAAGAAGACCCAATTCCGAGTTCCCAGGCCGAGGCACTTGTCTGTGATGACAAAGTTCCGATAAGAGCTGGAATATATTTTGACAGGAGCCAGCAGTCGTCTGGGTCCAGAGTGAGATCGGGATCATGGGGATCCGAAACATAAACTAGATGCTAGATGCACCTTTCACAATTTTCATGTTGTGTTGTGATTACCTTTAACCCCTTTACGGTCTAGGGATCCCCCTCCCCCGCCCCCCCATATTTTTCGTTTTCATTGCCTTTCTTTGGAAACAATTTGTAGGAACATGCAACTTAACGAAGTAATCAGAGGCCAGCTCCAAAGAGTCGGGGCCAGCAGCAGATGCTTATCCGATGCCACAAGGCCAGCCATCCAGCCATCCAGCCAGCGACAACTATTTTATGGCCTTATGTGGGGATGAGGATGGGGATGGAGATGGGGTTGCGGTGGCAGTGGCACTGGTTCGCTTTATATGGCTGGGATTGCTATTTTTGGTAACCCTTTTGCCTGCCTGCGGGCAGGAAAGTGGGTTACCATCCACCCAGACTGGAATTTATGCTGCGTAATAATTCTTGGTCCACAACTAAGTTGGTAAAAACAATGTAACAAATTGTTGTGCTACGTACCTGGAGGAGCTGCGTATGCAAATTCAACGACTGCAAATGCCAGCTATGTCAGGGCTCAGCCCAAAATGGGGAGGTCACCGGTCACCAGTGACCCCGACCATTGTGTGCCACTAACTAACCCACTTCCAGCCATTAATTTCCCATCAACGGCTCTTACCGGGCTTTATCGCTCAATTCGAAATTCGAATTACTTTTGATGGCATTTCCATTGGATCTATATCGCTACTCGGGCTCGATAGTTACACGCAGTCCGCCTGAAGGGGCCATAAAATTACACATAGATCTTATCGGGAACTTTGTATATTTCATGCTAATTAAAACGCCGAGATATTTGTTTAGCGATAAACAATAATTAATTGTGCTTATTTCTTTTCTCCAGCGCTCCACCTGCTGCCTCCCATCCAAGAGTGGCCACTGATTGAGTTGTATCTGTATCTGTATCTATCTGGGAATCAGTTTCAGTTGGTTTCGGGCGCAATAAACCAAATCAAACCGTGGGATGGAGCCCTTTGGCTACCCACCGCCACCATGACGTATGCACATTGTCATCATAACTCTGCCATTGTCTCTGATTCCGACTCCCAGATGGATACTTTTTATATTCGTTGCTTTGCATAAAGCCCTCGCCTCGTCTGGGGATGAGTGCGTTTTTGCGAGGGCGTGTGTGTGAACTGCAGTTTATTATTTAAACAACGTGACTAAATTTACGTAGTGCCGAAGAGAGTGGGGCTCTGGGAGAGGAAAACACCCGCAGGTGGTAAAACAATAATAGTAAACGTTTGCACAATGGAGCAAGCCATACAGGCGAAAATTATGGGTGCATTAAGTTATGTTTTGGGGCAGTGAAATTGGTTGGATTAAAAAGGATGTTTGGGTTTTCCGCTTCAAATCACTCTGATCAATTTCTTTCCAACAAATATGAAACTGAACATTTTTAATACTATCTCTTTATTTTATACCTCTTAAAGGTATTCTAAAGGAATTTATCAAAATAGAAACTTAACTTTGGCAAATGTATATCAATTTAAGGCGGACTTGTTCATTAATGCTTTCCGTTTTGGACATGTTTTTAAGTGTGCCATGCTAAGTTTTGTCCCACTGTGCATACCTGCGGCTTGGCATATGCAAAGTGAGCGTGGCTTTGGCCCCAGACAATTTTCGCATGATAAATCGTTAAAGGAATATGAAAAACCCCGCGAATTGTAACAGAAATAACATACTTGGGGGCTGGGGCAAAAGTGCGATGAAGGAGAGTAGATAGCACGGGGCCGAACTGGTGGAGCCTCACTTGGCACAACACCCCCACCCATGCCCTCCCCCCCTGTCCTTTGTTTATGCAAAAAGCTTCGCAGAATTGGCGCTACGTACGTGCCAAAGCATTTCATGGTCTGGCAACTTAATTCAGCAGGATGGCACCACATGCCCCTGCCACATCGGTAGCCATATGTTTCGGGGTCGCCCCCTTTCGGCACCCATGCTCCAGTTCTCCCTGCGCCATGCTCCATGCTCCATGCTCCATGCGGGTTCCATTTCCATTCATCTTCTGTTTGCCGGTGTCTGTGCAAGTGTTTGTTTTCCGCGGAACTCGGCCCATTCTACATCCTCAGCTTTTCTCCGGCGCTCACGTGTAAATTTTCTCAAATAAATCATTAAAAGCTGCGCGGCAGCCGCAGCACATTGACATTGTCAGAGGCTTTGCACCCACTCAGGGTGTCCCCTTTGGAGCCACCACCTCCATTCACCCTTTGAAGACCCTTTCTTCCGGCCTCTATCTTTCGGAAGGCCGCTCTTTTGATAGCAATCAGCACGGGTAGCGGATTGGTGGCCATTGTGAGTGCTCCAGTCATCAGCCTCACTCATCCCCATCCGAACATCTGAAGCTCAGGTGCACCTATTCATAGATCCTTTGGAATCCTTCGTAGGGCGCCGTGCCATTGCACTCACCTTTTGTGTGTGTGGGTGTGTGTGAAGAGGTTAGTTAGTGGCACTTTAGCGCTAAAGTTTATACATAAATTTGTCATTGGCATTCAGTGCCTCGCATCTCCCACATCTGACCCTCTGCGTCATGTGTGCACTTTCCTGCACGGAGCGAAAAATGTCAGCCCTAATGAGGTCAGCCAGGGGTCAACTTATATATAAAGAACTGGAATTTAAAACATATTTAAAGGAGATATTTGCAGAGTTATAAGATACACAAGACATGTATTGATATTATACAGTGATATTAATATGCATGGTTTAGATAAGTCTACTGATTAAGCAAGACAACTATTAGATTTGACTAATATCTAGCTCGAAATGGATTTGTCCTAAAGTATTGCTCTTATATTAGAAGTGGCATATTTTCCCTGTGTACGCCTTGGGCAAACCATGTCTGGGCCCTTCGTCTTGCAGCTTTTCATGGCTATGCATTCGGGTTGTGTTTTCCTTTGATATTATTTTAGACTTCCTATTCGGGTGGTGCCTTTTAATTAAATCGAAAGACTTCCGTGGAAAGACCCAGCACACCCGTGCCTGCCACCTTAACAACTCATTTTTCATACGCGGTGCCAGCCTGGTTGGCATAATTTACAAGAAATCTGTTATTGTCTTATTAGGAGCGGAACTCTGCCTTGGCGCCATATGGCGTCAGATGCTTAGCAAATTGAGCGATCGCCGATGACTTGGCACCTTCCCAAAATCCCAACTCCAAATCCAGAAACCGCATCGCGACACGAACATAAATAAATAATCGAAATGGAAAAGCGTGGCGAATGGCCCACAGCTGCGGCCCGGGAAATTCAAGGGCGGGCAGTCGAGCAATTTGCAATGCCCTTGCTCGCCCATTTTTATTGCACAATCAAGTGGTGCAGTTGCAAAGAGGGCGCCGCCACGCCCCTTCACGCATTCAGCCCACACACACCTTTGGATGTTTAATGTGCCGCACTTCACACCCGTCCACTAGAATCTGGAGCTGCCTACACTGAACACAAAAAGGCTGCATTGATCGCTCGATTAATATTTTCTTTTTTTTACTAAGAAACCTTTTCGATAAACAGTTTTTGTATTATAACAGGATAAAGAAATATTATTTCAAATTTAATTCGAAATATTTTTTATTCGAAATATTTATTAAAAAATTAAAAATCTACTCAATGGTATAACATATCAACACATTCTGTGTACCATGGATTGAACTAGAAATGAATTTTTAATTTAAAAGTTAAAGTCAAAGTTAGGTAGTTATTTTTCTAGGTGCAGAGGAAGATTCACAATTAGACAGCGTGAGGATGATTCGGAGAATGGTTTTCGATGGATGGATTGAAGGGCAGGGCGGTGCGGACGGGATGACTGTGCCTAATGCGCGGTGTGCACTTGAGTTCGGTTTGCTCAAGATCGGCCGATGCTCATCTCATCATCGCGCCATCGACGCCGGCTGAAAATAAAT